TCTACTCGCCCAAAAAAAAAAGAAAAATCTACTTTTTCACTTGGCAACCGTATCTAATGCCTAAAGTAACAAGAGACGAAGAACTTAAACTTCCTCCTAAGTACCCCATGCACTAAGTAAGTCAACAATAATCAAAGTTAAAACTCCTTCCGTATATGCTGTCTACGAGAGATTGAGGCATCAGAAAAGTAGCCCGATAGTAGCAAATGCCAATAGCAACCACTCGCTGGCAAGGCTCTGTCGATGGCTCTTCTTTCCAGGGTTGCTTATAAGCTCAACGAACAAGCAAATCGTAAAGGAATTCGTTGAGCGAAATTTAATAGCACGAGAAAAAACAGGGATTTACAACTACGAAGTAACACACACACACACCTTAGTTCTTGGAAAAGTCCTCGGTGAACCAAATGGCCGCATTGGTAAACCTTTCGTTGTTGGTTCCTCTCCTTTTAGCCTCAAAATAGCCGCCTGATGATTACCCGCATGATTATATCGCACTGCTGTGCGTTTCGAACGATCTGAGTTAAAAGTCTGAAAATACCCTGAATATTTAAAAAAAAACCAAATAGTTACATTGATATGCGAAAGAGTGGAAACTGTGCAAGAGTGTCCTTGCGCAAGAAACTTTGGCGCATTTCACGTCAAAATGCTTTCGTAATGGAGAGTGCGACATACATTACGATACTAGAGATGTCCGCTCGCAAAAGTTATAGAATCTGGCTAGCACATAATTTGTTACTACTGCTACAACTATCAGTGTGGCGAAATTGGACCGACTTTTGACGTAGTGAGTTGAAGGTATCTCAAAATCCATCATATTCATCTCAGCACATCAGTACACTGAGTCAAATCTTAGAAACCGTATGAAACTTTGAGATATGACTTGTCGCATCTAATAAAAATCAGTCATATTCGACGAAGGCAAGTGCTGATTTTACATACACGCTCTTTATTTGAGTAATTAGGAGCAGCAAACAGAGATCAACTTTTTAAAACAAGACCTGACTTGCCTTCAAAAATGTCAATACTAAGCACAAATAGCGGTGTTGGAAGTAACTGTGAACTTTCAGAAACTCAATTTTTGAAAGATGCTCGAGTTCGGGACGGTCAAATGCAGTGGTAAGTCTAATTTCTTAAAGCCAACAAACTTTTGTGACGTGGTACTCTAAAAAACTGTCCAACTGCTTCAAACGCATCATGATTATATTTTTACTTTTATTATTATTATCATTATCATCATTATTATCATCATTGACATCGACATCAATATCAAAATTATTACTGCCATTATTAACTGTGTTCACAAGTAGTCAATTTATTTACAGTAACACAAAAATTTGAGTTATTTTATCTTGCAAATAGTGCTGTTTTCAGTTTTTAGTCAACGATTCGTATTTCTAGGCTTTTTTATTGGTGAGGAGGGAAGCACATGTGAATGGCAACTAACCAAAAAACCTTGATTATATTCCTCCGGCAGCGAGCAGTCTGGCCAGATGACGTATTTTGAAACATCTTTGTAGCGCATTTTGATCATTGCGCTGGTTTTCGGATCCAGTTTGAATGGTTCCTTCGTATTTCCAGCCTAAAAAAAATTCAATTCTTTCAAAAATGCGTGAAATTCCAGCTTCCTAGCTTATTCGATTGCCGAGCTGAAAAGTGGGTGACAAAATGCGAACACACACAAACACGGGCCATCTCTCCTCTTCGCATTTATCAAAGGTGCAAAATGCACAAAAAATGTGATTTGCAAAAAAATAAGAGTGCTGCTCCAAGAATTTCATGTTGCAGACAGAAAGAAAAATTTTGCAGCAAATGCAGTGAGCTGCAACAGTTGTGGCGCTAGTCTTTTGCCAATAACAATGATAGGAGCAGATAGTTTAAAGGGAATGAGAGGCAAAAAAATAAAGGAGACCCTTTTTGTCTAAAGGTTCTACCTGTATGAACTTTAAAAAAATTTGAAATAAGATCTTTAAAAAAAAGCACTGAAATTGAAATTACAAAGAGGGTGAGTCTACTAGCAAAGGAGGCAATAGGTTAGTTAAGGAGTTTTTACGAGAAGATAGGCTAATAAGACAACAAACGTAATTAAATGAAGAATCCATCAAAAATAAGAATTAATTGGAAAATCTATAAAGAAGGAAAAAATTGAAAAAGAAGAGGGAAATTAAAATTTTTTCATATTTTTTACCAGTAAATAAGCAACGGCAATCGAACTACTTGCTGGACTGTTTGAATCTCGTACTTGATTTTTTCAACAAAATTTTTCTTTTTGAGGGTTGCATGGATAATTTCTCAAGGACATTTTGATACAGAGTTCTTATAAAATGTTAAAAGAGCATGGAAGAAGCCACCTACGTGGTTCAGGAGTCCGTTTAAAAGTCTGTTTGAAATTATGCGGGTGGAAGGGGTCCAAAAAAATAGAGAAGGATGGAGGAGATGAAAGTCGCATCAGTGGAATATCAGCGTGGGTATCCCTTGATGTTACCGGGATGCTTCTACAACCCCCTCTCCCGTCTCCTTTCCTCTCCTTCCCCGCGTCTCCTCCCTTCTCAATCCTGAAATGCATGTCACCAGTTAGTACTTACCAGGGGAAGAAACTACGAATCTAAAAGAAACCACTGCAATAGCGCGCAGCGCAGCGCAGCAAC